CTTTTAGTTGTTATACTGTTGAAAATGCTAGATTTTACAGCGATTCAGGAGTGGGTTACCAAAAACCTTTCTACGATCTTGCTCATTCTATTCGTATTGTTCCGAGTGTGGACAGTTCGGAAGAGTCTCCAAGGTGGTGACACGGAAAAAGAGGTCAGTTTTTGTGCATCTGAGAAGTGGTAGCATGGTTTATCCAGGTCCCTGGTAACAAGGTGGTTACCGTCGCTAACATGGCCGAGTGGAATGAGCGTCAGGAGGAAGCTAAGAAGAATAAGAAGATCATTGTTGCTGATTTCTTCGCTACGTGGTGTGGTCCTTGCAAGCGAGCGGCTCCAGAATATCAGCAGATGAGCATCGACTACGATGAGAAGACTGTGATGTTCTTGAAGGTGAGAGTATCACATTAAACGCCGAGGCTCGAGTGAATCTTCAGGTCAACGTTGATGCTGCAACTGATGTTACGACAGCTATGGGGGTGCGGTCCATGCCGACATTCAAGGTCTTTAAGGACGGTGCTGAGCTGAAGACTATCACTGGTTGGGATAAGGCTGGTATGACCACTCTTTTGAACGAGAATGGAGCGAAGCTGTTATCCCCGGAGGAGAGAGAGAAGATCGTGAAAGAAGCTGCCGCTGCTGCTGCTGCGAATGCTGAGACTAAAAAGGATCAGTAGATTATGATAGATTAAGATTTTCCAAACCTTTCTGCGTTGATACAGAGATGTGTTGATTTTGAGAGTGACTAGAAATCAGTGCCGAAAACACAACCGGGATAAATATTTGCTTCAAGGTTGTTGTTATGAGAGCTGCGGTTGTGATACAGTGTAGAATATCGTAAACACACGATTGCATGATCTTTCTAGAAGCCTAACAAGGAGATACTTGCACGCTAGCGCCACATCGTTGAGAGCAGTCATGTTACACGTGATTGCTCAGTGCTGTGACATATTGAGGGTTGCTCGTCTACTGTACCAGGTGAAGGGTAGCAAACTGAAATCCAGAAGGCGGAGATCGGCAAGGCTTTCCAGCTTCGGAAAATGGTCAAGGAATTCTAAGAGTGACGCTCAATGATTTGGTGCAGTGTCGGTAAATATGCACATGATCAACTACATCTATCGGTGACAATATGAAAATGCTGGGAAATTCTTATCGGTTTCTGTGCATTCCTATCCCAACTAGTGTGTGAACTTCTATACTTGAGAAACTCTCGAGCTCAGCTGAGGAGAGCAAACAAATATTTCAACACGTGTGTCCGCCCATGAGTGATATCCGACAAAATCGAAAATGGAGGTTCGCAGAGAAATGTGGATTAAATGATTCATGCTGATGAGGTTGAACACATCTTGAGGTGGCATAGCGACCCCACTTGGATGAGTTATATTGAGGCACATCTTGGGGTGGCATAGCGGCCCCACTTGGATGAGTTGTATTGAGGCACATCTTAAGACGGAATAGCGGCCCGACGTGGATTAGTTGTATTGAGGCGTATCTTGAGGTACCTTAGCGGCCCCACTTGGATTAGTTGTATTGAGGCATATCTTGAGATGGCATAGCGGCCCCACTTGGATTAGTTGTATTGAGGCATATCTTAAGATGGCATAGCGGCCCCACTTGAATAAGAATAGGAATTAGTCTTAACAGGATGTAGTGCCCTCAAGACACCCCATCATTACACTACTCGATCGAGTACTGGCGAATCAATGGGAAGAGTATCTATAAGGAGAACAACAACAACAATAATCACTCAATGAGTGATTAGATGCAACTAGAGGAGATACAAGCTCAATATAATAGTAAATACCTGCCATTCCCTTTTATCCAACGCATTCTTTCTAATGCACTCCCACATTCCACCACAATCCTCGATGTAGACGTAGAGTCTACAACATAGCCTCATGTGGAGTGAGGTAAAAGTTGCACAACACAATTTTTTGGGTAACACACAAAGTTGCGCCACAGAAGCTTTCGACATCTAAAATCGACTTTCGTGTGGACTACTCGTATTATTACCCTTGGACTCCAACCACTCTGAACTAATCAGAATTAGTTTTAACAGACTAAATGGAGTCCGTCCTTCATGGTGTCCAGGACCTCGTGTTGAGGTGCCGCTCGCTCTTCCGGTCCCACGGCACGGTGATCGTAGTGACTGGTGTGGCCTCGTTGCTGGCCTTGAAAGCTCTAAGGCTCATGAGACGTACCACGGTGGATCTCCATGCAGTTTTTGGTGGACCCAATCATGTAAACTGCTAATGCGCTAGTGTTCCTCTCTAGACGTGCGACTGTTTAAGTTCCTTCCTATCCTTGGTTTCATCCCGAAGTCGTTGGATCACCTTTTCCATGCCGCAGAGATTTACGCTGATACGTACGGAGATGTATACTATATGAAGTAAGATAGAAAGCATTTGGGCCGCTTCTCGATCGCATGCGCCCCTTTTCCAGAACTCTTGGAAGGGACATTGTGGTAGTCTCTGATCCTGAGCTCATCCGTGAGGTCTTAAATGCCCGTCCAAGGACCTACATCAAACCCTTCAATAAGCACAAGATAATGCCCATGGAGGGAATGTTCAATACGGAAGGCGAGGCTTGGAAACGGAACAGACGATTGGGTGCACCAGCCTTCAACGACAGTAACTCTGTGGCTATGATTCCCGACATGTCCAAGATCGCTTTGAGACTGGTAAGGTCCTGATTCGCGTCGCTTCCTCTCCTTTGTGTCCGTAGATACGCCAGTTGGAGCGCCTCAGTCAGGATGGTCGTGAGCTGTTGGCGCTGTTAGAGCCCTGTGACCTAGAGTTCGAGTTAGAGGACTTCCCGGGAACACGACGCGCAGGAGGCATAGGGAAGTCGGGACGAAGAAGACGAAAGTTAATCGACTAATGAGCAATGAGCTTCAGCGCGCAGCACGCATGTGCATAGCGCTCCTGCGTGAAACTACGTCACGTCACGATGGAGCGTGTCTCACTACTATGGGAATAACATAGGGACAGACTAGAAAAAAATGAGAATACATCGCTCAGCCTCGCCCCCCATAAAAGCGTGTACACTGATCGAGTGATGGTCAAAACCCATAAGCGAAAAATTACGTATCGTCATCATCACCATTCCAATCATGCGCTCGCAGAGCTTGCAAAGCACGTTCCTTAGCAGCTCTCTGTGGCCTCGGCTGAGGTGGAAAATTGTTGCTCCCATCTTGAGCAACTCGAGAATCATCGTCGGGCACGGTCTTATCGTGAATCAGTCCTCAGGGTCATCGGAGACCAATCCGTCCATACGACTATCATCATCGACATCGAGGACACCCTCGTCCGGAATATCGTCGTCTTCTCGGAGAGCTTCAAGTTTTAATATGGTGTCCTCCACAACGTTAGTACTTTCATGTAC